TCCACGTTTTTGCTCTCTCCCAAATGGCAGGGAATTGGGAGAGAGCAAAAACATGGACCGTCTGGTGGTCCCCGAGGACCGGGTTGAGAAACCCTGGAGTAAAACATACCCACCGCCACCTACCAAACAGTAGCTTCCAATGAATCCGTCGTATGCAGATCTACAAGATAAACAATTAATTCAAAGAGCCACAAGTGTGACCTACAACAGCAAGGAAAGACGCAGAACAGCCCACTGCATACCTTTAACCACAGCGAAGTCAGGTAACCGGAAGAACACCTTACCAGCGTTAGGTCCCCAGCCAACCACTGCCACTTTTATACGGTGCTACCTTTAACTACGATAATCGCGCCGCAGATTTAAAGGCACAGCTACCCAAAATAGCCATTCTGCTATAACCGGACTGGGGAAACAAACTTGAATGCGGACTAAATACACAGGACTACTCAGAAATTACACGAAACAGCTGAATGCAATCAGGAATTGACATGAGGTAATGAGGCGGCGTGGCACACGGAAGGATCGTACGAGCAGGTGCTATGTTCTATTACAAGTGCTATGTTCCAAAACCTGAGTGTAACACTTAGCTCAAACCTCACTTCTCTTTTAGCCTCTTCATCTCGTGTCAGCTGTCTGTCACCCAGGCATTCTTGCAACAATATAAAAATACATATCAAAAGCAGTTTATCAAAAAGCTAATTAAGAAAATTTTCTCTCACAAGACACAATAACACCGAGAGTGTTGACAATGAAAGCATACAGTGCTCCTTTGAGTCTCATGCTGTGCCTTTGCTTGTATAAAGCCTATGCATTTTCTCTTACTTCTGCATAGTTCTTCAGGACATGTGAAAGGCGAACGACTTTCTGAACATTTGTTTTACCCCTTTTGTCATCCCACAGGTACTCTGGGGACAGAATCTTAGATGGTTTATTGTAAAGCAGGTACCAGTTTAGGTGGCTTTCTTCCTGCCAGACTGCCTCTATTCCATTTGCTTTGTCTGCTTCTAGATTTTCATGACACCTTTTAACCAGTTTATAGACTTCATCAACTGTGCCCCCAAACATGGCTCCAATGTAATAGAAGTCTCCCTCCCCAGGAGGAATATAGGCCGTAGACTCAGGACGCCGTTCATAAGTGAACTGGTCGCGACTCAAATCATAGTACCAAGGGTGTATTTGGCCAACTAGCCGATCCAGTGACTCTGCACCCCAGCGAAAGTGGAATTTTGCATCGACATCCTGGCAGTAGATGTAATCTGCCTCTCGGTGAAGCTGCTCCTCAATGATGGTCTGGATCATCTGCATCCTCGAAGCAGAGATGTCCTGCCAGCGGTTTAACTTTGGCACCTGATGGACAAAGATTTTTCTTCCAGCAGCCAGATTCACTGATGGCACTTCGTGCGACTTGTCAGTGAAAATGTGATAGTGCACTTTGAAGTCAACCATAAAGTGCTTCTCTGCTGTTTCCAAGAAATCATGCAGAAACCTGATATACCTTCCAGAGACAAATACAGACAAATCTAGATTAGTGCTCTGAGAGTTCATTTCTGTATTAATAAGTTTATATGCTTGCAAATTTTCTGCTCACTTTCCAATGGCAAACACAGTTGTAGCAATGGTCAGATTCTTTGGCTTGTATATGGCGTCAACTAAAACAGGGTCAAAAGTT